TATTATGGTACCTACTACTCTCTCCAGTAATTACTTAAGTATTTACCTCCCTGACAGGCTGTGGCTTTTTCAGGGCAAACACTAAGCCTAATTTATCCCTGAAACTGAATAGAAGTCTTACTTCATGTTTGATGAATGAATAATTGAAGGAGAAGTGGTCTAGTACAATACAGACCTGACCAACAGCTACAACACCCTGGTAAATGTGATCTATTCATAAAGTAAGTGGGGGGAAAAGTGCAGTGGGATGGTGGAGAGGAGGTTGTGTTTCGCTGAGGATCACCCACCTGGCATATTCCTCGCAGGCTCCTTACACAGCAGGCACTAAGTAGGGCACAGGGGAAAGAACAACCCCTGCCCACCAGGCCTTCATCATCCAGAGGAGGAGGAAGACAGCCCAGCCACACCAATATCATGTGCCAAGAAGGGTCAAACCAGGAGGACTCCTAGGGACACTAACCAAGCTAAGAAAGAACACTGCTCCCTGTCTATTATTAGAAAAACAAAAATCTTATCCACAGGAGAACACACATTGTTACATCTAAGTTGCACACAGGAGAAACGAGAGTTGGATAAAAAGGACCCTTGTCTTAGGTCCTCAACAGAACCCTGGCTGACACCAAACCCTTGTACCTGGCATCCCAATAAGCTACACTCAGTAAGAAGGATGGGAACTGGAAGAGGATCCCTCAGGGGCAGCTCACCTGATCAAACCTGCTCACATCATTGGACAGCAGGTTGACTATCTGGCCTGTGGTGGTCTTCCCCATGGCTAAGCTACTCAGACGAAGTACCTGAAGTGAGAAAAAGATACAAAGAATTGAATTGCCAAGGTGATACCAAGTCAATCTTAGAACATAGCAAAATGGAGTGTGTTTTCATGGGGTCTTGAGCAGTGCTAGGACAGAGAGGGTGACCCCAAACAGCAGGGCTATAGGGACCTACATTCATCCTTTATCTCCTCAATGTGGTGGCAGCCCCACCCATAAGAACAGCAAAGGGATGAGCAGGAGGTAGAAGCAAAATCCTACACCCTGTTTTTCAATGAACTTGAACCTGCCCAAAGGATAAAGGGATGTTGATTTAGACTTAAGAATCAACCAAAAGAAATTTGAGCCAAACTAGATGAGAGTGGAAAGGCTGCCTTAAAGAAAGAAATTAGAGGACTTGGATGGACTATAAATCTGGAATTGATTATTAATTCTGTGCATGACCTCATTTAAATACTTTGGGCTTAGTTTATTCATTTTGAAATGAGTGAGTATAATGTTCAAAACACTGTTCCTATGAGGAAACTCTGTTCTTAATGCCAGTCTGCTAACTTTACAAAAAACACAACCTCTGCCGCACAATTCCTTTATTTGGTAAGAAAAAATGCCCTAGAGATCTGAGGAACCTGAACAGACACCATGAGCTGTTTCAGAGACCACCAATTGGATCCAAACAGCCTCATGGTTCATAAAACTGATTCATTTAGTCCTCAGGTTAAACAGAAAAATCAATGATAAAGTGGAAATGTAAAACAACATAGCTGCCATAGAAGAGAATTTGGCAGTTCGGCTGATTCATGTCAATGTATGGCAAAAACCACTACAATATTGTAAAGTAATTAGCCTCCAACTAATAAAAATAAATGGGAAAAAATAAAACAAAACAAACAAACAAAAACTAAACACAAAATTAGCATCAGTTCAGTTCAGCTGCTCAGTTGTGTCTGACTCTTTCAGTTCAGTTCACTTCAGTCGCTCAGTCGTGTCTGACTCTGTGCGACCCCATGAATTGCAGCACGCCAGGCCTCCCGTCCATCACCAACTCCCAGAGTTTACTCAAACTCATGTCCATCGAGTCAGTGATGCCATCCAGCCATCTCATCCCCTGTCATCCCCTTCTGCTCCTGCCCTCAATCTTTCCCAGCATCAGGGTATTTTCCAATGAGTCAGCTCTTCGCGTCAGGTGGCCAAAGTATTGGAGTTTCAGCTTCAGCATCAGTCCCTCCAATGAACACCCAGGACTGATCTCCTTTAGGATGGACTGGTTGGATCTGTTTGCAGTCCAAGGGACTCTCAAGAGTCTTCTCCAATACCACAGTTCAAAAGCATCAGTTCTTCGGCGCTCAGCCTTCTATATAGTCCAACTCTCACATCCATACATGACCACTGGAAAAACCATAGCCTTGACTACACAGACCTTTGTTGGCAAAGTAATGTCTCTGCTTTTTAATATGCTCTCTAGGTTGGTCATAACTTTCCTTCCAAGGAGCAAGCATCTTTTAATTTATAATGCAGCAATTCCACTTCTGGGAATGTACTCAAAAGAACTGAATGTATGAACTTGAATAGATATTTATACATTTGTGTTCAGAGCAGCAATGGTCACAATAGCCAAAAGGTAGAAACAGTCCAAATGCTCATAACAGATGAATGGATACAGAGAATGCTGCATATACCTATAATGGAATATTATTTGGAAGATTGAAGTAGAATGGTGATGGCTGGTAGGGGTTGGGGTGGGGTGACTGGAGAATTAGTGTTTATTGAATGCAGAGGATCACTTTGCGAAGATGAAATTCTGGAGATGAAGAGCAGTGCTGTTTCTTCAACAATGTAAATGCACCTAATGTCACTATATTGTTGTTGTTCAGTCACTAAGTCATGCCCAACTCTTTGCAATGCCATGAACAGCAGCACACCAGGCTCCTCAGCCTCCACTATCTCCTGAAGTTTGCTCAAATTCATGTCCATTGAGTCAGTGAAGGTATCTAACCATCTCATCTTCTGCCACCCCTATCTCCTTTTGCCTTCAATCTTTCCCAGCATCAGAGTCTGTTCCAATGAGTCAGCCCTTCATGTCACTAATGTCACTAAACAATGTGTGCAAAATGAGTTAAAACTGTAAATTTTATGTTGTGCATATTTTATAATAATTTTTAAAAATCAACGACCAAAAGCCAAGAGTAACTTTACCGAATTTGTAGAAATGACAAATCATTTTATTTATGACATATCCCACAAGATCATTCAAAGTTCAGCTAAAAAGAGCCTAAAAATTTCCCAAAGGTGACATTCCAAAGTGTTAGTGGGAAGACGAAGAAAAACAGGTGGACAATGGCTCACCTGTGCAGCAAAGAGTGAGCTTTGACTGAACCATGACCTCACACCTAACTGAAGGTTTTCACAGTGCAGTTCTGGTGAAATTCCACACATACTTATGAGAGCTAAGCATGATCTAGAAAGACAAATACCTAGCTAACTTGTGGAGAAATCTGAGTACTCATCTCCTAAACAGTGAAAGGTGCAAGAAAATAACAAATATATGATGGGGGACAATTAAGAACACTGGCTAGAGTGTACAGTCACCACTGCCATTTCCATGTCGCCCAGGAGGAAACCAGCTCTTGTGCCAAACACACACAGTGAGATGCCAGGGGCCCTGGGTTCATACAGTGCTGAGATTAATAAGACTCTGCTCAAGGAAAGATGAGGAGAAGACACTTTACATTTTGCCAAGAAAAACGTTCCCAAGAGACAGAAGCTCTAGATAAGCAACATAAGTAGCAACTAGGTAAAAGAAGCGAAAATTTCAATTTAAATTGTTTGGTTTTAGCTTTTGATTAGGATTTTATCTTTTAATAAAAATTATATGTATTAAGATGAAAAATATGATGCTTGTTAAAAATATACATTGGGAAATGATTTCTGTAGTAAAACCAATAAACATATTCACACTTTATGTAGTTACCATTTTGTGTGTCTTCTGAGAACACTGAGGGCTTCCCTTGTGGCTCAGCTGATAAAGAATATGCCTGCAATGTGGGATACTTGGGTTTGATCCCTGGGTTGGGAAGATCCCTTGGAGAAGGAAAGGCTACCCATTCCAGTATTCTAGGCTGGAGAATTCCATGAACTACATAGTCCATGGGGTCGCAGAGTCGGACACGACTGAGCAACTTTCACTTTCACACTTTCACTTGAGAACACTTCAGATCTACTCTCGCAGAAAAATTCAAGTATATAATACAATTAAATAAGGATTTTTTAAAGCAAATAACCCAGGGCAACAAGATACTGAGAAACAAGTTTATACAGAGCCCTTCAACAGTTGACATGGTATATCTGTGGCAATTTCTTTGTAAAGACACCTGAAATCCTAATTCCTTTTACACTAGCTAAGATCAGGGTAAGCTATGAAATAGTTGTGTGGCATTTCTCAATATAAAAATCACCGAACACATCAAATCAGGTCCTATTAAAACTTCTATAATGCATACTAAAGACAAAAAGGAAACATAGTATTATGAAGATAACTTGAAAGAACAGCAACAAATTCTCTCCCAAATTACTAAAGACAATGGAAATTTTCAAGTTTTATCCAAAATATCCAATTATTTTAATACCAATAAAACAATTGTAACTTATAGCATATAGCGAGTCTGAATTTAGCCTGAATTATATTTATATTTTTCTTTAGTTAACACAACAGTACTGAATGTGATTAAATGGGCCATTGAAAAATATAATCATTCCCTTTCTCAAATCCATTCTGTTCTCCAAGATTTAATTTTATGGATCGAATCCTGAAGTTCACCTTTAAATACAGCTTTGAAGATTTTACTGGGCAACAACAACAAAATTTCCAGAAATACCACTATGAAAATTAGGCATGAAAACATTGAAAATCAATGGCGTACCTTTGATACTTTAATTTTTTAATTAGATTTCATTACAGATTGAGTGGATATTATGCAACAGTGGATATTATGTGGCTAAAACTCATAAAAGGTAGCCCTGATCCAATCTCAGTAGAAAACTTTTCATTATATATTGAAAAATTTGCTTAAACAGCAACAACAACAACAAAAACTTGACTTGGTGCAAATAGCAAGCTTCTCCAGTAAAGTAAAAATGATCCCAGTTACAAAATTTTTAGTTTACAGAGAACTTTCCCTAAATGTTCCTGATGCTTCAGGGGAGGTACACACTGTGGAACCGAGTGACACTTACCTTGCAGTAGATCATATGGCACACAGCTACTCTCAGCCTCATCCCCACACGCTGAATGTGATAGAAGTACAAGTGGTGCAGAACAGCCCACACGAGCACGCTGGTGCTCAGCCCTGCAGCATAGCCATAGGCTTCGCGCAAAGCGGCAATATCCGTGCGATTGGAGTTTTCAACATAATTAATCATTTTTCCCAAAAATAAGGGCTGAACTACTCTAGTGCCTTCCTAAAAGGATAAAAGGCTTAATTAGAAATGCAAGCTCTACCAGTTTTCTTAACACAAGCTTTACTTTCACCATTAGCGTATTAAGAGGGCATTTTTGGCAAAACACCATATTCATGATTCACCTGAAAAGAAAATATCTATCAACTATTAGACAAGCAAACAATAGTTTTAACCTTAAGCCAAAATTTTACATTCAAAGATAATGAAGCCTTAGTACTTCGTGCTCACTACATTCTAGAAGCTCAATAAATACTACAACCAGTGCTTTGGAATGCATTTGGCAAAATATCAAGTGATTCTTAGGGTGCTGGTGCTAAGTCGCTTCAGTCACACCCAACTCTTTGTGACCCTGTGGACTGTAGTCCACCAGGCTCCTCTGTCCATGGGATTTCTCAGGCAAGAATACTGGAGTGGATTGCCATTTCCTTCTTCAGGGAATATTCCTCACCCAGGGATTGAACCCGTGTCTCTTTATGACTCCTGCATTGGCAGGCGGGTTCTTTACCACTAGCACCAGAAGAAGGGTAAAAAATTTGCTTCCACATGAACAAGCTCTGCTGGCAGCCCATCCCTGTCCCCCTGTTCTTTCAACATCTCAGCCTAACAGAAAGTCAAAATGGTTCATGTATAGGAGACACACTCTTATCACCTTCTTAAAAGTCTTTATGAACTGAGACACTGGAACAAATGCATTCACCTGTACCCACCCCAAATTTCACACATCAGTACAACAGGAAAACAGAGCCCAGACTCTGTTGGAACATCACAAGGAAACCAGGTGGGGAGGTTCTCAGGGTCTCGGCCCCAAGGGACACTGTGTCAATATGTCTCTACCCTCTAGAAGCTGGGATGTTCCTTGGAATCAAGCTAAAAAACAATTTCATCCATGGTTTGCCACCAGCCACTTATTGAAGGTGCTGGTTTGGAAGAAATGTTACCAATCATCTCTTCCCTAAGGCAAAAGTTAAAATCCTAAACCAGTGAGGTGGGGGACACTGAGGCTTCTCCCCTGAGTAAGGCTTAGGGAAAGCAATTTTCTTTCCCAAAACTAAAGGTAGAAAACTGCAACACTTGCTCACCCTGCCAAATGGCCACTCCACCCCACAACCTACTTCTTTCCTCTAGTCACCCCTTAAAGGTCCCCTTCTCTCCCATCAAAGAAAACCAAACACTCAACACAAATCCAAGTCATCAAAAGTAAACACCATGACCCTCAACATCATTTCCTCCACAGACTTCTCAAAAGACAAAATGTCAAAACTTTGGAAATCTTTCAGGAACTTGACTTTGGAGCAAGCTTTTCCTTTTAAGCAATCCTTCCTTATTAACACAGACAGGATAAACAACTGACAGACTTTCCTTGATAGCAGTCTTCTGTCCATCTGAAGTTGCGGAAAGGATATGCAAGAGGAAGGGAAGGAGAATCCCAAACAAACACAAAAACTAACAAACATTTTCTGTTCAACAAACTAGTGCCTGATAAGGATATATAGAGAAAGTTGTCCCCAATCCTAAAAGGGATGTAACATTAAACTCCAACACTCCTGTCTTGTTCTGCACACATGAACCCACATGTTCACAGACTACACAAACTGCCTCACCTTCCACAAGGTAATAGGCTTCATCTACTACAGAGATCACTGTTAAGCTAAAGAATTGAGTAGGATCATCAGATCAGAGTAAGACGAGCTATTCTCAAAACACAAAGGTTCACGGTTACATTTCTAGCAAGCCCTATTATTCACCCGTAGAGGCTCTAAGAGCTTATGGAAGAGCCCCTCGTATTGTACATTGTAAAACAGACTTTGTATAGACTTCACTGAGATAGAAATATGAAGGCAGAGAAACAAGAATGTCAGCCCAGGCATGGCCAAGGGCAGTGCAGTGCTACAGCCTGCAAACCTGGGGCTCTCTACCAGAAGCCCAGCACTAACACCTGTCATCCCAAAATGTCCTAAAACTTATGATTTTCTTTGGGAACCATTGTTGCCTGTTACTCAGCTCTCCTTTTGACCCTGATACCATTCTAATTACAACAGAAATAAGAGTAACCTCACCCCCTAAAGAGAATACTGATAGATGCAACAAATTCACCAAAAAGTAGTACAAAATAAAGGCACCTCATTACCATCTGACTGGATTTTTTCTGCTGAGTGACAGTATTTAATAACCCAGTTGAGCAAACAGCCTCATTAAGGAATACTGCTGTGGACTTCCCTGGTGGTCCAGTGGTTAAGAATCTGGCTGCAAATGCAGGGGACACAGGTTTCATCTCTGGTCAGGGAAGATCCCACATGTCATGGAGCAACTAAGCCTGTGCTCCACAACTACTGAGCCCATGCATGCTGACTACTGAAGCCATCACACCTAGAGCCTGTGCTCCGCAACCAGAGATGCCACTGCAGTGAGAAGCCTGCACACTGTAACTAGAGAAAAGTCCTTGCTCAGCAGTGAAGACCCAGTGAAGTCAAAATTCTTTTTTTTTTTTTTTAAAGAGTAATGCCAGTGGTGAAGGACAGGGAAGCCTGGAGTGCTGCAGTCCATGGGGTAGCAGACACCAACACAACTGAGAGACTGAACAATAAATGCCAGCCCTGGCTCATAGCTTCCACTCCTCTGTTTGCTCTTTTTTTAAATTTTATTTATCTGTTTGCTTATTTATTTATTTTTTACTCTCCTGGGTCTTCGTTGACACACACGGGCTCCTCCTTGCTGTGTGGGCATTCTCTCATTGAGGTGAGTGAGGGCTCCTCTCTAGTTGTGATGGGTGCTCCTGGTTTCACTGGTTTCTCTTGTTTCAGAGCAGGGGCTCTAGAGCATGCAGGCTTCAGTAGGTGCACCAAGTGGGCTCAGGAGTTGCAGTTGATGGGTCCTGAGGCATGTGGGATCTTAGTTCCTGGACCAGGGATCAAACCCATGTCCACTGCACTGGCAGGAAAATTCTTAACCACTGACCACTAGGGAAAGTCCCTCCTCTGTTCTTGATCCTAATCCTCAACGAGTGAGAAATAAAACAACTGAGAAAATGTTCATTAGCAAACTTGAAACTAACCAAATGAAAACTTTCTGGATAGCAGGAACAAGATCAAAAATTGCTCTCATAAAGCCTTCATCTTTGACACCAACCTTTAACTCAGTGAATAGCCTTTCCACAAAACTGGGAACATAGTTCTTATTCCTTTACAAGAATTCTGCATAACTGTGAAACCATAAAAGATTTTTAAAACAGTCCAATATAATATCACAACAATCATTTCAAAGTTCTATGAGAGTCTCAGAGCCTCTGAGGCAGACATTTCTTGGTGGAGTCCTTGTTAGCCAACCTCCTGAAAGCACCTAACATTCAGGCTCACCTCTTGCTTCTTAGGGGAACTTCTCACAGGGTTAGATGTTAGAATCTTCCCAGTCAGTATAGTTTCTCCGCTACATTTCCACAAATACTTGAATTGTTTCTTGCCCAGTTCTACCATTTCTGAGAAAAACTGAGTAACTCCCTGAGATGGCCCAAGCCACCACCTTAAATACCATCTCCAGCTAAAGAAAGATTGGCAAGGACACATATAAGAAGTTAATAGGAAAAGCAGCTAAAAGTAAAATGGCTGGGTTTGTTACGGAGATTTAAGAATTCTCCATTGACAAGACTGCTCTGTGATTTAGAGACACCCTTCTCTTTTGGGTCCTGGGAGGAAGACACCTTTACAAATGGAGATTTCCCTCGTCAACGTAAATGTCCCTCATAGATGGGTAGCTTCTGCTCTGTCTTTAGAGTTCCTCCTGTGTCTATTTCTCAAAAAAAAATAATCAGGTAAAAATAATCTTTGAGCCAAAACTGCACATTTTGAGGTGACACTTTCTGCTACACTTCAATCCTATTCGATGTTTGTAGTTTTGAAATATTTGTAACACCTACAGAAAACAAAAACTCTGTAGGAAGCAGGTGATAGAGGAGCACAGAGCTGTTCTCAGAAAAACACCTCCTTTTGACTCTGAGTCTCAGTGGAGGCTGTGGGAAGAGAGGAAGCCTCAGGACAGAATGCAGAGAACACTGGCCTGGGAGTCCAAACACTGGGCTTCAGAAACCAGGTTGGCCACCTGCAAGTCACGTGACCCAAAGCCCATCATATGCCCACCTGCCCTCCAGGTCTTTGTTTACCTCGAGGAATTGTGGGACAACTGAGAGAGCTATAACAGCTCAAACAACTCTAAAACTGTTAGGTAGTTAGACTAGAAAACAGGAGTCTAAAATGGCAGTGGGTAAAAGACAAGGGAGGGAGAAGCCTGCAAAAATAGAACAGAGGAAGGTCAAAGAAAGGTCCGAGGACCAGAGTGAGGACTTCAGGTAGAACAGCATTCCTGACTGAGCCCAATTTGCATGGAGCAGGCCCAGAGGGAAGAAAAAGACATATAAAAAGAGGAGCCAAAGGGCTCACTCTCTCTCCCATGCGTGTGTACGCTCTTTCTCTCTCTCTCTCTCTCTACTCCCCCCAACCCACCCCCCACACACTGGCACGCTCCTCCACTCTCTTCTCTTCTTCGAGGATGGATTCTCCTGCTGTCTTCTGTAACACTGATTTGCCCAAGAGCTATGACACAGTTTGTCCAAGACCCGAGAGCTGTGACACGCTGAGGGGACTTTAATGTCCGTCACTCCAAATCTTTGTCGTGACAAGACAAAGAACCAAGGAGCATACACTCGCTTGACAAAACCAACACTAAAAAACAAGTGTAAGCTATGATTATTTTTATGATACAAAAGTCCTGGGAAGAGACTTGCTCTATTATTAATGGCAGAGGCTGGTTTCACAAAGGGCTTGGAAAGCTCAGTGCTGCTCACAGGCCATCATGACAGAACAACTCTTGAGAAAAGTCATTTATAAAAGCCAACATTTCTGAACAGTAATTAAAAGTTTCACTTCTCAGCAAATATATTTTTTTAAATTTTTAACTATTATGAATACAACCTTAAAAAAAGAGGCACCTACTTCCCTGACTTCTAAAAG